TACCATTTATTCATACCCTTTCTTCCCGTAGTAGAACAGTACTAGTAGTAGTAGTAGTTCCACTAGCACCTCAGATTTCCCGTGACCTCAATGTCATCCTAAACTGGGTATTAACCATATGCAACTACTAACATGTTGTCATTCCTTCAAATTAGGATGAAACAGTTGCCTATGCAACCTTGATTCAGCCCCTTTGTATGTGTGCATTCTGATAGTCTTTAATGATATGATCACACTATTTTCCACAAGACCCCACCTCTTTCAGTGCACAAGACTGTGCTCAATTAATGAGCAACTAATTAATATTTTGTTTTATTCTGTTCAATGTCTGGTCCTAGGCCTTATTTACTGAACACTATTCAAACCCTGCTTTTCTACAGCACTAATCACTATGATATCCTAGTGCTCTAGTGCAGTATTTCTCAACCTTTTTGATACCAGGGACTGGCTTGCTGCCTCTGCTGGTCCACGGACTGGTCTTTGAGAAACACTGCTCTAGTGGACAAGCGCTAGAATGAGATGAGACACACTTAACCAGAGGATTTCACAAACATTTGATGACAGCAGAAGAAAGTGAGACTTAGGATACTTGGGCTCCATTCCAGCCACTGGAAGCAAGTGTGCTCTTGTGGGCACAAACTCTTCTGCCCATTTCCTCCAACCCTGACCCCTCTGTTCCATTTCTTCTAATGGGTCCTAGTTCTCTTTTCCTCCCCAGATCCTTGTCCCAGTCCCAATCGCCACTCCTCCACAGGTTCATCATAGTCCCCTCCCTCCCACTCCAACTTCTTGTCCCCCAGCCTCCTTGCCCCCAGATTCCTCCTCCTAGAGCCTCATCTGATCTCTCTCCCCCCCTTCCCCCCCACTGGTTGGTTTCCAGTCCCTCTCCCTTCACTGGGCTCCTCATCCAATCTCAGTCCTTCACACCTTCCTGTCCCAGTCTCTCTGCCCACCGAATCTTAGTATGACCCTTCCCATTTCTCTCACCAGCTCCCAGCCTATTGCTCCCAGCCAGTCCGAGCTTCCCCTTTCCCCCAAACTCCCAGTTCTAGTCTCCTAGCCCAATGAGTTGCAGCCTGCCTTCAACTACCACCCCCAGCTCTCAGTCTCCTTTCTAGCCAGTCCCAGTCTCTCCCTTGCAACTCAGTTACTGTATCTCTTCTCCTCCCTGTCCCCCCAATTCCAGTTGCAGTCTACTTTTCCTTTCCTTTCCTGCTGGTCCTGCTCTTGTCTCCGCTGCATTCTAATCAGAGTCTTCCTCCTCCACGATACAGCTGTGCTAGCTGGGGTGGGGAGGAGGGCGGGGGAAGGCTGCATGCTGAGTCCTCACTCCTCCCCACTCCCTCCTGCCCCCGAACATTGCAAGATTGCCATGGGCAGGAGCAAGGACGCAGAATGCCCACCCCTCCCGCTCCTGCCTCCTGCCCACAGCAATCAGCTGGCTTGTCGTGTTCAGGAGGCAGGGGGAGCCTGCAGGCCATGTCCTCGCTCCTCCCCACTCCCTCCTGAACGCTGCAAGCCAGCTGATTGCTGCGGGCAGGAGGTGGAGGGGGGGAAGAGGAGTGAGGATGCGGTGTGCGGAATAAAGGGGGAGGAGGGGAGGAAGAAGAGGGGGGTTAAAGGTGAGGGCTTGGGGGAAGGAGTGGAGTGGGCGCTGAGGGTTGAGCCCCCCACCCCTGGTGCTTGCAGAGTAGGGGAAGCTGCTGCTGTGCAACATGCTTCTCCTAGCCTGCAGCACCTTCAGCCTCCTTGCCTGCCTCATTGTCTCCAGTGCCAGTGGTCTGTGCCTGTGTGGGGTACCTCCCAACTACAGTACTGTACTGTAGTGTATGGCAAAAATTTTTTTCCCTGGAACCTAACCCCCGCCCTCCCCATTTACATTCATTCTTATGGGGAAGCTGGATTCGCTTAACATAGTTTCACTTAGTGTTGCATTTTTCAGGAACACAACTACAACGTTAAGTGAGGAGTTACTGTACTACGTGGGACTGTCACTTTCCTAACAGAAACTATAGGCCTCTTCCTATTATATGTGGTTACTGACTGGCAGATATTCAAATTGCCATTGTATTGCAATAAAGAAATGCTTCCAAATTCATAGCACATTACATAAGGGATAACTTCCAATGGATGTGCATTTCTGACAAAAACATCCAAATAGCTTAAAGCTAATTTCCCTTTCTCCAAGCAGAAATTGCAAATTGCTACACCAGTCTAAAATCACTACAAATAAATCCTGTCTGCATCTCAAAGAAATAGCAATTTCTGCTCTTGATATCCAACTGAATGAAAAATTGATCTTCTGTCTCCTTATACTGTTCAATAGCAACCTCTGCATCTAATTAAGAATAAACTTGTTCTGAAAGGAATCTCTTGACCAGAATGATGGCTGCAGTGCAGAGTTTGGAAGATGCGAATGAGTTAGACTGGTATCCTATGGATCCCCCACTTTATAGTTCATAAGGGATTATAAAATTGCCAGAGATGGATATATGCTGAATATCTAGCCAGACTACTCTGAGGACCTAACCAGAGATCCAGGTAGCACTTGATATGCAAGGTGGCAACATCCCTTTTGGCTTTGCTGTCTGCGTTGGTGGGAAATAGCTCAGTTGTAGATATTCAGGATTATTTTCCTTTCTCTGCTTATAAATATGAGCAAAGAGGGAAAGACTGGTACTGTACACCGTGTAAGAGAATCTCTGCACCTGATTTAAAGGGACAAGAGTCTATTATATTGGTCCCAGAAGCATTTTTTCTTTAAACACAAGGTTAATCTTTACCAACTAGATTGCCACAAACTCCTAATTACCTTTCTGGCTGGGAAAACGCATACAACTAATAGAAGTAGCGGACAAACCCTTTAATGCAAACAAAAAAACTTTCTGCCCAACAGAAGACAGACAGGGAATAGTTGTATAAAAAAGTTTAACTGTTTAGTCCTGGAATGAAATTTATTTTTAGTTATCACTGGTTAACTATGTTTGCACTGTTCTAGTTTAAAAGCTAATAAAATATTTCAGCAATCTACAAAAAGTAACTTTTTTCATCCACTAATTTAAAAAGACAACTTTCATTAGAAAGTTACACAGACAAGAGTTAAAAAATTTATTTATGCAGAGCCTACGAAAGCTCAGCACATCAGCATTTGAACCAGAGGTATCTGGCTGCACATAAGTGACCACATGTCGTGGGCTAGAAAGGGTTCAGTAAGACCGCAGGACGCTCGGGAGTGGTGGTGACGAGAGAAAAACAAAAGGATACCAGTTTTTGCTAACCTTATTGGGAGACAGGGGGAGGGCCTCTAACAACCAAGATATGGTCACTTTAATCAAAGTCAGCTTTTTGGGGGTGTAGTGTTTTCTCTGAATACAATTAAGAGTTAAGGAGCTGTTGCAGTAAAGAATCAATTCGACTAATAATTTTGCATGGTCAATGTGCAGATACTACTTCCTTTTCCACATTCATCTTATTTTATGCTCACCGTGGCTCTCCTTTTGAAAATGAAAGATTCTGAATAATCTGAAAGAAATTTATAACTGAAACAACTCAAAGTGAGCATTAGCTGCATAGTTATATTAATTCAGCATACTATTTACACGTCTTCCTGTCCAGTTGTAACAGTGTGACTCTCAAACTATAGAATTATGTGAATTAAGAATACAGATTACCAACAGGATTATGCTTGAAATGTTAAAATAAAATGATTTACTGTCATGAAATATGACCCTGTCTGCATTAACAACATACTTTGATGTGTCTAAACTGGAATTTGTGTGTTTGACTTCTAAGACTGTATGCTAGACTAACAAAGGAGGCTGAAGGAATCTCATATTCTTATATAGTTTTCAACACTGTCACCACAGGGGAGAGTGTTATAAATCCAATGATTACAACCCAATGAGTCTCAATGAGTCCAACTGCCCAAACAATGGGGCAGCTATCAAAGATGTATTCTCCTGGATAGGCACTGTAGATGCCCGGGTTGACTGGAAAAAACCAGTCTGAGGCACCAGGAAACATATTGGATGGACACTGAAAACAGACACTATTGAGCAGTATGGTATTTGGGCTCAAACACCTACATGGAAAGTGAGATCTTCCCTAAAACACAGTTTGTGTGAGAGAGAGGGGACATACAGAAAGAAAAGGGAAAGATCAAGAACAGCAGGGCATGCTGTTAGCTGTGACTTCTTGGCCTTCAAGGAGAATGTGAGTTGGGTCACTTCTGTTACTGTAATTTAAGAGGGTAACAATTTTTTTTTGTAATGAAACATAACTGATAAGACTAAATATGCATGTAGATTGTTTGTTGCTTTAAAACATTTGTTCTCTAATGCTTTGATCCAACTGCTAAATAAAACTTAAGAAAGCTGTTGGGTCAATATCACTGGTCACAGATTCCTGAAGTGAACAAACACAGGGGCCTAAAATCCATTCAGGCCTGCAGGGTGACAAGCGATCATGGGGTAGTATACCTGAGTCCCAACAGAAGAGTGAAAGAATCACGAGATTCCACTCTGAGAAAGAGGAGGAGGTCTTGTAACTGGAATACTACCCAGATATTAAAAATTTGGTTTGGAATGTGTGTCTAATTAATGGTCATGAATGTATACTCTAGCAATCAATTGTTTACTACAACTCCATTAGGAGCTGTAACTTAAATATACATTTGAAGGTAGTCAAACACGGACAAATCCAAAATATTTTCCAGCAGGCCTTAAATGAGGAGGACAAAAAAAAAGTAAAATTAATATGTATAATTTATACTATTGATGAAATTTCCATCACTAACAGAATTTTGTTGGATCTGTACTATCTTCAACTTTTACTGGAAACTGCAGGCTGGAATTTAAGTGTTTCTTTCCACCAACAGAGGTTGAAAACTGTGTCTTATTGCTGTAACTCTCTCATAAGCCTAACCAGCTAATGTTTTCTGGCCTAAAACAGTATTTGCAGATAAACAAGTATTTTTCCTCTAGCTTGTACTTTTTACCTACCTAGTATTTTCACAGCATAATGAGGACTCTCCAGAATGACTCCTTCTTCTGTGTCAAACATAGGATTATCTATTCCAGTTTTGGGAGGAATCTGTGCTAGTTTCTTAAGCCTCATTGAAGCAGTAAGGTCTAGTTCTTGTTTCTTTCCTTCTTCTTCTCGCCTGCGCCTCATGTCCTCCTGTTGCTGGCGAATCCGCTCAAGTTGAGCACTTCGTCGTACTGGCATCATCCTGGAGCCCAAATCCCCAGGGCAATCAACAGCCATCTCTCTGTGCTTCTGAGGTTCCTCAGGAGGTGCAAGCTCCACATTTTTTGTTTCATTGTCAGAATCTTCTGTAACATGTCCATTCATATGAGAAGTTGTCATGGCTATTTATAGTAATCTGTACCACCGCTCACATACAAATTCTGTTACAAGGCCAGTTTTCTTCATGCTCCCACTTAAAAGCCATTATAATTTCAAAGGATATTGCATCAGAAGACCAAGGTTGAAGAAATAGCCAGCAAAGAAATCTAGTGAAAAAATGAATAATTAAGTTACTAAACAAGAAAAACAGTAAGACTTTTATAACTTCCTGACCCGGACATTTTTCTCTATGTTTATATAGCGCACTTTTCCCCAATTCAAGCATTGTTTAATGTAGCAGCCACACAATTAACAGTGTAGTAGCCTTCGCACACTGTTTATAAAAATTAGAAGACTGTTCTGTTAAACAAAGTTCATAATATTTCCAGATGAAATTTCCAGTAAAGATTTTGCACTTAATGTACAAGATTACAAACTGGCAGTTTTCTGAAACTTGCTTTTCACAGTTCTTACATTTTTCCTTTCATTCTGAAGGATTGCAAGACATTTCTCAAGCTATTCCACCAATCCTACAAATACTTATATATGAATGTGGTCACAGAGTTTAATGAGGCTATGCACATGTGTAAAGATATTCACATGTGTAAGTGTTCCCAGGACTGGGGCGTTTCCATACAAGAATTACTTCACCTACCACTAAAGGCAATGTAGAAGACAGCTGCTGTTTGAAAGGGAACAGCATAAACTTCACAACAGTTTTGAACACATAGTAAAGGATACTGTATCCAGCTGAAATGGAAAGGGGAATTAAGTGGACTGAATGAAATTCACTAGGACTGGCGTTTGACCATTACTGATAATCCTGTTTTCATCAAAAGTGTCTTGAGGATGTTGTCAGGACCCATTTTCACACTTCATGTAAAATTTTATGTCTATCCTATACAGGTTTTTATACCACACTCAGCACTGTGACATCTGAATCCCTCACACTAGTGTATTAAGTGATACTATTAACATCTGTCATGTGTGGATTGTTTTCTCTGTCATCTCCCTACAGGGAGAATTATCTGTTCAGTGTAGTGATTTGGTATGACTTGTTGTCTTTTATATTTCATTTAGTTTTTCCTTTGTTATGTCTATTGGAGAAGGCAGGTCAAAGTGCACATATCAGTTGGAACAAAAGTTATTAGGGCTGGGTGAATAAATGAATATTTTGGTTCTCTGGCAATTACAGAAAGTTTCTGAACCAAAACCAAAACTTTTTGGTGAATCAAAAAGTCAGAAATATTTGGGTTGGGTTGAAACAAAGTGTTGTTTTGACCTAACTCAATTTTTCATTTTGGTTGTGAGCATTTTAACAAAACCAAAGGAGAACTGGATTCACAAAACTGCTGGAAGAGGAAAAAGAGGTGTATGATGCTCTCCTTTAACTTTTAACTGGGTGGCTAGGGCACTCAGAGGGGATGTGGGAAACCCAAATTCAACTCCCCCTTCTGATGATGTGGAAAGGAATGTGAATTTGGGTCTCCAACATTGAAGGAGAGTGGGCTGTCATGGGATATTCTGTTATGCGGCTTTCTCCATTTCACCTCTTGAAGTCATTCCACTTTGTATAAATAAATAGTCATTAATGCAGAGACTTGAACTTGGGTCTCCTATATACTTGTTGAGTGACCTAACCACCAGACTGCAGAATCATTTTTACTCTTTCCTTGATCCAGTGATGAACAGTGAACTCGCCAAGGATGTAGGAGACCCAAAATCAAAACCTGCTCCAATGATTACTTATTTATACGAAGTGTAATTGCTTCACCAGGCAAAATGGAGAAAACTCCATTACAGAATATCCCATCATAGCCCAGGAGACAGGGCACTCTCCTGCAACATGGGAGACCCAAGCTCAAATTCTCTCTCACAAAGAGGGGAATTGAATATGGGTCTCCCACACTCCAGGTGAGTGCCCTAACCACTGGGCTAAAAGGCATAAGGAGGACACCTCTTCCAGACATTTTGTGAATTTAGTCCTCGTTTGCTTTTGTTAAAAATGCCTGAAATCTAAAGGAAAAGTTTTGAGTCGTGTCAAACTGAAGTGTTTGGTTTAGACATTTCCAAAACATTTTGATTTTTTTGGTTTGGTTGAAACTATTCAGCAAGCTTGACATAAATTTGCAGTTTCAGGTTGACTGAAACTGCATTTTTCAGATACTTCTAGCTGTGATAGTCCTGAGTTTTAAGAACGTAAGAACAGCCATACTGTGTCAGACCAAAGGTCCATCAAACCCAGTATACTGTCCTCTGACAGTGGCCAATGGCAGGTGCCCCAAAGGAAATGAACAGACAGGTTATCATCAAGTGATCCATGCCTTGTCACCCAATCCCAGCTTATGGCTAACAGAGACTAGGGACACCAATGGCTAATAGCCACTGATGGACCTATCTTCCATGAATCTGTCTAGCTCCCTTTTGAATGATGTTATAGTATTGGCCTTCACAACACCCTCTGGCAAGGAGTTCCACAGGTTGACAGTGCGTTGCATGAAAAAATACTTTCTTGTGTTTGTTTTAAAATGCTACCTATTGATTTCATGCGGTGGCCCCTTGTTCTTGTATTATGAGTAAATAACACTTCCTTATTTACTTTCTCTATACCACTCATGATTTTATAGACCTCTATCGTATTCCCCCTTAGTCGTCTCTTTAAATATTAGTTTGTTCCACAGTCCCAGACTAGTTCCCAAGAAAGCTGTCATGTTTTACCTCATGGTAGAAAGTTCCAATCCCTGAGGAATGGAGTTGTCGGCAATGGTCCTACTGCTAGAGCTTTAAGTCATTTTTAGACATCCTGGCCTAAACACCTAGAAGATAAGGACTGACCATTCGAATTTCATTGTGCTGCTGGATCAGTTATATGATTAATACATTTCATCATATATATTGGTTGGTTACAAAGTAAAATCATGTTGACTATGACTGGCTAAGTACTACTAATGAGAAGTGAGATGGAAACAATTCTTCCTCTGAAGCTGAGGCTACTTTCTCTGAAGTGCACAGAAGCAGCCAACAATCTTCCATTTTCCCTCACTTACACTGTATGAGCAGTCACTATGGTGCAAGTCCTGGTTCTATTGAGCTCCACAGTCCAGCCTGTCTCTGTGATCTACAAGTGTAACAAAGTTCTTAAGGGGAACTTCCCAGGGAAGGTGGCTGAGGTAGGGGCAGCACACTGACAAGTGGACACATGGAACAGGGACAGCTGGGAGGTAATGACAACAGTAGGCTTTCAGAGGTATAGCTTCCACATAGTGGTTCTGTGCACTGCTTTCAACAGAGACTCCCACTGTTAATTCTTTCCTCACGAGCACCTGGTCTCTTTTACATAATCCCTCATTCTCCACAAGGAATTTTATCTCCCCCTACCTCCAGGCTGGGGAGAAGAGGATGGAGCCCAAGATTCTCTCCCCCATCTCCTCCAGCTGGTGTGGGCTCATCTGGGCTTCCTGAGAGGCTGACGGGAGGGCTTTTCTTTCTGGAGCCCTGGAGAGAGGGACCTAGAAGGTCAACTGGCTGCCATGCAACTAGACATGCAAAACTCTACAGTGCACTTCCTGCATATCTCCAACCAGCCCTGAGCTGGGAGGGAGAAGGAAGGACAGCAAGACCCCAAAAAGCCAGTGTGACAAAGTTCCTGCTCCGCCTTGGTGGGTCTTGCACTTATTGGCGGATATGCTTGCCTTGGAGCTTCACGGCGGCCCTCAGCTTGGCCGTGTTTCTGAATTCACAGACTCCTATGTCTGACCAGGAGTTGGGAGGATTTGGGGGGAATCCAGGCCTGCCCTCTACTCCGGGTTCCAGCCCAGGGCCCTGCGGAATGCAGCTGTCTACAGTGCTTCCTGGAACAGATGTGCGACAGCTACAACTCCCTGGGCTACTTCTCTATGGCCTCCTCCCAACACCTTCTTTATTCTCACCATAGGACCTTCCTCCTGGTGTCTGATAATGCTTGTACACCTCAGCCCTCCAACAATCCGCGTTCTCACTCTCAGCTACTAGTGCCTCTTGCTCCCAGTTCCTCACACGCACGCCACAAACTGAAGTGAGCTCCTTTTTAAAACCCAGGTGCCCTGATTAGCCTGCCTTAATTGATTCTAGCAACTTCTTGATTGGCTGCAGGTGTTCTAATCAGCCTATCTTAATTGTTTCCAGAAAGTTCCTGATTGTTCTGGAACCTTCCCTGTTACCTTACCCAGGGAAAAGGGACCTGCTTAGCCTGGGGCTAATATATCTGCTTTCTATTACTCTCCTATAGCCATCTGGCCGACCCTGTCACACCAGACATGTACATGGAGAAGCCAGGTTGGAAGAGAAGCTATGTACATCCTGCTACTGCTCCTGTCATTTTACCGAAGCATCTTAAAAACTGACCAGGAAGCTCAGCAGCAATCTTATGCCAGTTCCAAGCCCAGGCCTCATCCAACATTCCCATCTGCACCATTTCTGTGTGTACAGAGAGTTGCAACTTTAACCTAATATATAACAGCTACACAAAATATCATGTGTTTAATGGCCAATGTTTATCATAGGTGGAGCTAGTACCACCATCACCACCACCTCAGGTTGCCCAATAACTTCCCATTATACAGCCCTGTTTTCAGTTGCTCATAATCTCTGCCAAACTATCTGGGCTGAAATTTTCCATGCCAGGCTGAGGTGTATTTTTTGTTTTGTTTTGATTTGGTTTTGAATGAAATGATTCAGCCAAAACATCTGTCTGTTTCTGAGAATGAGGTTAGGGGAAAATGCATTTTGTCCAGTTAAAAAATATTCTTAGGAATGTTTAAGCAGCTTTAATCCCTGAACATTTTGGAACAGGGACTTGAAATTTGGCAAGGAGTGGGCTTTAGTGCCATGGATGTGCCTTTTGCTGTTCCAGTGAAAATCTGTCACATTTGGCCAAGTTACAACCTTTGATAAATCTTAAGTAGCATGTGGATTGAGTTTAGCAACTAAAATCTCCATATGCTTTGAACATGCTCCATTCCCACACTGCTCCTACAAGTGACCAAACTGTGTATATGCCATCCCCACAGATGGAAGGGAATGAGCCTGTTCCAACCCAGGGCAATAGGGGCTCACTATCACTAGGACATTCCCTGAAACTTCTGGTCACTGTGGGCCAGGGCCAGGTGAGGCACCAAAATTGAAAACA